TAAACATCTTCTATACGAAATAAGAAATGTGTTTGATAATCTTCCAAAAACTTTATTAATACAGTGAACTATAAAAGTATTTTTAGCAGTAGCTATGTAATTTGAATACAGATGGAGTAACTTATTGAAAAACATTAAAAAAAATTCTACAATAAATTGTCTGATTTTATTGTATACCAGTGCTCGACAGTCGAACTCGCGTAAGGTTTGAAACTATGTCTTAAACCACAATTCTTTATCATTGCAAAACCAGGATATTTTGCTACATGTTTCGACCACATTTTTTGGGGGGTCATCATCATTGTTTTCAATAAATAATTGTGGTTTAAATGGTGTATCACTTTTATTATTTAAATGGTAGGAGATATATGAGCAAACCGTGTTTTAGGTAAAGATGTGTACATAACAACTGTTCTGGTGTAAACGCCTTTTACAAGCTGGCGAAGCATGGTTATAATTAAATATATTTGTCACAAGACATTATGTTAGGCCTATTATATTTGTAACATTACATTCTTAATCTAGTCCCTTAGAGATTTTCAAGGAATAGAAGAGTGTATAATAATAGTATTCAATCACATTATATATTCGTCATATCCATTGCTGATGGCGCATTTTGCTCAATCCGGAGCTCTTACGGCCGGTTGGGATTAATTATACTTTGACTAACATAATATCATATGACAAATATAATGATGATTTGTCAGCTTGTAAAAGGCGTTCATACCATAACAGTTGTTCTAACAAATGGTCTATATAAATAGTGTTTCGACCACTACTGAGTTTGTTGTAACCCAGCCGACCCGAAAAGCTCTTGACTGAGCGAAACGTATCGTCGGCATTGGATATGGCGAATATAATGTGGTTGAAATGAACAAAAACCCTATAACTCGAGAGCTTTCGAAAGGTGGACCATTCTTCTTCTTCAGAGGCAAACTGGGAACTCCGGTCATTGGTTTCATCTCTGTCAGAAAATAATTTTTATTCTTTGCTTATTTTTTTTTCATGTAATGTGAATGCTGAAATTCCAAAAACTTTTGTTTGTAATTAAGCACAGAGCAACACAATGGGCTATCTGTGCTCTGCCTACCACGGGTATTCGAAATCCGGATTCTAGCGTTGTAAGTCCACAGACATTCCGCTGTGCCACTGGGGGGGGGGGGGGCTCCGAAAAACTTACTATTTATTTAAGATAATTTTTCATACTCGTTTTTAAAAATTGATTAGCATAACATATCTTTTTCAGTCAGTCCCCAGGTGTCACTTTTATTTTACTTAAACACTTAAGTATAGTTTTAAATATATATATATATTCATCCGCTTCTAAAGTAAAGTATCCCTAACACCTTTTCGCATACACTCTCTCCATCGGCTACACTGTACCGGAAATAAGATGCTTACAATAGTACATAGAGAAATATAATAAACATATACTGAAACACCGGATGATATATATCACCCATTTGATGTCCCCACCATTCCCAGTTTGCCCCTCAAAAAGAAAGGTGTGGAAAGCGCTCGGATTATAGGGTTTTTATTCATTCATATAATGTGGTTGATATACTATTATTATAAACTCTTTCTAAATCTTGAAAATCCCTAAGGGACAAGATAATAACGTAGTGGCAAAAATATAATAGGCCTAACGTAATGTCTTATGACAAGTATAATTAAAGATGTGAACATAGTTTGTAATTGACGTATAAATCAGCTTCTTTTTGAGGCATTTTTAACGCTATAGTGTAAGCAGACAAATCGAATGTGTGAAAGATCCTGTACGTTGATTTTCTCTAGTCTTGATAGTTTCGAGAAAACTTTGCACTTATGTTTCTTTTTTAGTTGTTTTTTATAGTGCGAAACGTTACTCATAAATTATTCAATTAAAGTGAATATGTCAAAAATTATTTTCACTCAGAACATTAAAAACAATATCTGAGAGACATAACGATTTTTATTCGATAGGAATATGCTTGAGAAGTGAATTGCTTACTTCCTTACTAAGCTGAAATTGATCGCTTTGAATGCTTGCCAATTTTCAAATGCTGAGTAGTATTCACCCATATACTGATAAGAGAATTGTTATTATACTATATATATATATATGACTCGCAGTCTGAGGGTCGCGGGTTCGAATCCCCGTCACACCAAACATGCTCGCCCTTTC